GGAGTGATTGGGTGAAGTATTGTATTATTTATTAAATTTAAGAGATTAGAAATATAAGGATCTAGTCATTCTAAGTTTATGTTGCTGTTTATATAGTTGTACAATGAAAATTGGATACGAATTTCAGGATATAGCTTCTTTTATTTTTAAGATTAAGTGGTTTGATTTTAATAATATGTTTAATGTATTATAATAATACTCAGTTTTTGTCCGTCCTGAAAATGTGCGTCCACCTTGCTATCTAAATGCGCTTGATCGCGCACTTCGTTCCAACGGATGTAAATATACTTTAGTAGACATTTGGTACAACATATTAAAAACTTCTAAAAGTTTTTAAAAAAGGTCTAACGTTAAGCTGTAGAATAACATCATAAGCTTATTTATTGATAATATCAAATACGGTAAGATTTAGCCCTAACTAAACCAAAACGAAAAACGTACATAAGCTACAATGTTAATTTATCTTTTTATCTAACATAGGCCGTTTTTAATAAAAGCTTAACAAATGTTAGGCCTAAAACAAATGGACTTATTGATTTCGGTGTTTGTGATCAAAATCATTTTTTCATTATTCCATAAATCCTGCGCTTAAAGAACTATTGTTGCAATAAAAATACTAATTTGATCGCAAATGTTTTGTGGATCTCTGCTAGTATATATTTATATATATACTTATATGTACATATGTATTCTCATACAACTTATAAGAATATTCCTGGAATATTAGATCATTTGTTCTCCATTGTGAGCTGTTTCTGTTGTCACGTTTTGAGGAATCAGACAGTACAGAGCTTACCTATCTGGACAATAAGGTTTACTATCCAATCTTGTTTAGCCATTGATTCTATCTCGTTTGGAAGCAAAGTTTATTAGTTATTGTCCAACCCATTTGCTTTGCCATTATAAAAGTCTTACCAAACATTATTCTTGAAATAGTTACTTAGAGTAAAGGGATATCACCTGACAAACAAAACCTTGAATATATCAGTTTTTTGGTACGATAAAGTTTAGTCCAAATTTAACTGAAGCAAAAAAACGTGCACAAATTACAGTGTTAATTTATCTCTTTATCGAATATAGACAGTACTTAATAAAGGCTTAACTAATGTTAGGCCTAGTGAACTTATATATTTTGATATCTTCGTTTAGAATTCTTTTGTATTATTCTATTATTTAAAGAAGTAATATACAAAAAAAAAAAAATATACAGATTTGACCGCAAGTGTTTTGCGAATCTTCGTAAGTTTTAAATATTTCATTTATTTTCAAAACTAGAAAGTTTTCCCACAATTAGATGCATAACAGAATTGTACTTTCACTTTAAAATTTTGAGTGCTCAAATGAGTTGCTATATGTAAAGTTTAAAATTTAATTTCATTGGTGAGGTTTGTAGATTTGTTGACTCTGTACCCTCATCAACATATGAGCTTTATTCCAAAGCTACCTCTTTTGTGAGGACACATTCTGTCCCTCCCCCCATCTCCCAGTGGCTCAAGAGTAAGTCTGATGGCTTATAACGCTAGAAACTGGGTTTCGATACCAGTGATGAGCAGATCACAGATAGCCCATTGTGTAGCTTTGTGCTTAACAAAAAACAATGGATACATTCTACCTACATTTGTAATGCTATTTGTTTTTGTCCTAGTTGTTCAAAATATTTAAAAATATGTATGTATAAATATATAATTTTTATCTTTCAGTTAATTGTTTTTCGTATAGATACAAACATAATATTTTTATTTCTGTCAATTTCGATCTTATATTAGAACTGTTGCTGATAGATTCAGAATACCGAAATCACCAGTATAATATTTCAACCTGGGTCCAGGAGCTCAGAAATGTTTCGTTTGTGAGACGATTCACCACTGCATCAAAAGTTAAAATCACGAAAGAGAAAAGTATGAATAAAAAAAAAATGACTGTAAAAAATTAAAAACGTTAATATAGACCAAACTTTTCCCCACAGTTTGAACAGGAAACTGTTACTCATTTATTTCTAAATGTACGTTTATAAGACTTGTAACAGTTTTCAATTCTCGTCTACAAGTTTGTTGTGGCTATTTCACAAACTGTAAATATTAATATTTCAAGCAAAGATTAAGTTTGACAAAAATATTTCAAATAACTCAGGCCTGCTAATTTATTTTAGTTTAGTTGGAGATGAACGTTTTCCTTGGATAAATTTCATCAGATTAGAACGACAGTTTACTGTTAGTCTTTACACAGAAAAGTATGAAAAATATGAGTCTCCGGTGAGTGACAGGTTTGGGAAAAATTCTGAAATTATTAGTTCAAAGCCACATTGTGGCAGGTTATTTTCTTTCGCACACATACACGTAATTGAACGGGTAATTGGCTAATAATTATTGAAATTTAATAATTTATTACAAACGAGGTAAAAATAATATAATATTTATCATCACTGAGTGTCCAATATTTTTAGAGTTCGACTTAATGGTTAGGAGGAAAAAAATCGTGCAGAACTAATCAAGAAAGACAATAACTAGTAGTATAAGACTACTTTAAAACGACGTCACTTCATGTCACGTCACTTTTCAAGTAACTTTTTTTTGCATAACCCAATTAGTTATTCAACTTTATTTTTGACTTTACGGTGGTTAAGATACTGTGATGTTTGAAATATTAATTATGCGATACTTCCGACAATAAGGTCGATAACAATGACTAACGATACAAATTATCACTGTGCCTCCTTTAAGCAGCAGTATGTTGTTGGACATCTGTAGTATATGTGTGTGGATTCCATGTTAGGCTTCATATGAACCCTTCATTAAACACGGTATATGTAATCAATAATCCCATTTTCATCTGGTTCTCCCTAAATGTTCCTTCCTAAACATTAATAACTGAATAGCTGACATCATACTAAATAAAAATATGTATGTGTGTGGATTCTATGTTAGGCTTCATATGAACCCTTCATTAAACACGGTATATGTAATCAATAATCCCATTTTCATCTGGTTCTCCCTAAATGTTCCTTCCTAAACATTAATAACTGAATAGCTGACATCATACTAAATAAAAATATGTATAGACTTTGCTCCAAACCAAGTATATATATGTGTGTGAATCTTTAGAAGGTTAGTCAAGATTATAGCAGAAAATATATGCTATAGATAACCACGATGACATTAAGTTTATATCACAAAAATTACATCATTCAGACCAGATTAACACTTAAAGAAGTTATTAATTGATTAAATGTGGTTTAATTAGTTATACAAATATATCTTCTGAATTGCAGAAGTAAATTTGAGATTACAAACAATATTACATCTTGAAATCATGTTTCCAGTATGTGTATTTATAATACAGTTTGTATATTTATAATACAGTTTGTCTATTTATAATACAGTATGTCTATTTATAATACAGTATGTCTATTTATAATACAGTTTGTGTATTTATAATACAGTTTGTGTATTGATAATACAGTATGTGTATTGATAATACAGTATGTGTATTGATAATACAGTATGTGTATTTATAATACAGTATGTGTATTTATAATACAGTTTGTGTATTGATAATACAGTATGTGTATTTATAATACAGTTTGTGTATTTATAATACAGTTTGTGTATTTATAATACAGTTTGTGTATTTATAATACAGTTTGTGTATTTATAATACAGTATGTGTATTTATAATACAGTTTGTGTATTTATAATACAGTATGTGTATTTATAATAAAGCTGAACTTTATAGCTTGATACGTGTTCTAATATGTGCGTTTACGTTAGGTGTTTCATCTCATATGATTGAGACAAAATCTGTAGTTCTATATTAAGATTATCATTAATTCAGCTACCTTGTCAAAATCCAGCTGTTAATTCACACAATTTTGTCTTATCTACAATGTACAGCTTTTTACATATTTTTTTTTCAAATTCTACCTCTACAGGTAACCCGCTCCTTCACTGAATGTTTTATTCTATTATTGTTTATCGTGAACGGTAAAATACCGATCTATAAAACCTTGGTGATTAATAAAGTTGTAGCACGTGACCTAAAATAACGGATTGTTTCAATATTAACCCACAAGTAATAAACATGTAGCACGCGACCTAGAATAACGGATTGTTTCAATATTAACCCACAGGTAATAAACATGTAGCACGTGATCTAGAATAACGAATTGTTTCAATATTAACCCATAGGTAATAAACATGTAGCACGCGCACGCGATCTAGAATAACGGATTGTTTCAATATTAACCCACAGGTAATAAACATGTAGCACGCGACCTAGAATAACGGATTGTTTCAATATTAACCCACAGGTAATAAAGTTGTAGCACGCGACCTAGAATAACGGATTGTTTCAATATTAACCCACAGGTAATAAACATGTCGCACGCGACCTAGAATAACGGATTGTTTCAATATTAACCCACAGGTAATAAACATGTTGCTAGTGGCCTAGAATAACGGATTGTTTCAATATTAACCCACAGGTAATAAACATGTATCACGCGACCTAGAATAACGAATTGTTTCAATATTAACCCACGGGTAATAAACATGTAGCACGCGACCTAGAATAACGGATTGTTTCAATATTAACCCACAGGTAATAAACATGTAGCACGCGCACGCGATCTAGAATAACGGATTGTTTCAATATTAACCCACAGGTAATGAACATGTAGCACGTGATCTAGAATAACGAATTGTTTCAATATTAACCCACAAGTAATAAACATGTAGCATGTATTGTTTCAATATTAACCCACAAGTAATAAACATGTAGCATGTATTGTTTCAATAGTAGCCCACAGCCTTGCGGATAAAGACAACAGAATTATTTAATTGTTTATAGCGTCCCCATTAATTACCAAAAAAAAATGTAATTTGATCACTTGATTTCAAAATACGAGAAACTAATTTAGGAATTGAGTGGAACATTTAGTATTTCAACAAAAAAAATCTTTATATTAGACAAAAGAAACACAAAGAAAATGTTATCCAAGAGAATGACAGCTACAACTACGTTTTATAATCAACATAACATTTACAATCTACAAAATGTCAAATTATCCCGAAGAATCGTTTGTTTACTTGTATAAAGACTTGTCAATATGTAAGTTAGAATTGAGCTGATAAAAGAAACTGCCGAGTCATTATATACGTAAACAGAAAACAACATCATTTTTTTTTTTACTGGAGTTACCGAGATCTCTCAAAGAAAAGTATCTTCAAAGCCAAAGCAACTAAATCAAATAAAGCATTTTTTTGAACTGATGCTGTTTTTTTTTCAGAAGAAATCTTTGTAATCACAATCACAAGTTCATCTAATAATGGATATAATAATAAAAGCAGTAATACTTTATTAAAAGATGTATTCTAGACCGACTGTTGTGTTTTGATTACCCAAAATATTTAACCTAGTATAATTTTATTCAGTATAAATTGTTGCATCAATATATATATATAAACACAAATAGTATCTAATATGAAACAAACATTTTACGAATTTGCAAAATACACGAAGTTCGAAATACTTCATTTTGTGATAATTCTAAAGTAAATCAAAGTAAAATAACAGTTACAAAATAAGCATGAATCTCTAAATGACAACTAATGAATAAAGTGAATTGTAAAGTCCACACTTTTACTCAGTTGTGGTGGGGTGGGGAGTTGTATTGTATCCTTATGCAACAAACAATAGTTTTCCAGTAACTTACATTGGAAGGAAGTTTGTGTTTATATCGAACTTGCTGGAAATGACATATTTTTATACAGAAAAAATCACGGAATGTATATTTTTCAAGTTAAATTTTTTCTAGCTAAACAACGTTATCCAGTACACAGGTAGAATTAATTAAAGAATAACATTTCGAAAGTTTACCATATGCTCTTGGGGAAATTCTAGTTTCTACATCAATGATAAAAGGATAATAAAAATTGAGAATTGTCTTATATAACATGTTTGATCTTTTTTTTTTCTTCCATTTTTCGGCATCACTTTATTATTATTATTAGGTGCTAAAATTAGTCGGGATCTTGTGAAATAATTCTCTAAACTTTCAGTTCGCTCTCATTGGTCGACTTAAAATAATGACCAGTGATTAACCTATATTCTTTATTAAGCGAATCCCTGATAAAAAGGTCAGGATTAGGGTATTTTCCACTATAAGTATATCCTAAAACGACAGCAGTGTTATGAAATTCCGTTTTTTTTCTTTTTTCATTTCTCATCGTTCTTGAGTAGCACGTGCATCTTGTTTAGAGACAGAGGGACTGTTTTATCTTCGACGTGAAACGTAGTTATCCTATTTCTCTCTCTAAAAAACCACCATGTTTGTTCCTCACCATAGAAGTACTACACGCCATTGCGTCTTTAAAAAAAAAATCACCAAATCACTGACTGTCACCGATTCACTAGGAGAAATACACTACATAAGACTCCAGTAACTAAAGTGGTTGACGTCGAAAACCTGGTTCCTGATGATGTGTGTTTCCCATGTTGCATTGCTGCCGGATTTTCTCCTAGGAAATATATCAAGTACAAAAATTTGTTAGGGTAACTCATCTAAGAGTAATATTAAATGTATTAATTTAGTTCACTTACATGAGTCTAGAGGGCGCAACAAGTTCTCTTATTATTAGGTAATATAATAACATTCTTCTAGCAAGCTTTCAGCCAACATTGCGAGAATTTTGTTTGCTAATCGCCATAATATTTTAACGATTTAAAGGAAACCAGTCTGTGTGAAAACGTAATGCTAATACGTACTCTGTTCACCTGAGACATTGGTGAATTTTCTATTTCGATATAAAAGTACTAGAATATTAGATACCCCAAATTTCGGCAGATGATCTAATGGTTGTCCTAGAACTAACTTTTAGTACACAGAAATACAAATACAAATGATCCCCACTTTTTGAAACAATTCTTCTCTCTCTACATACATATACAACGGTCAGGTGGTTAGAGCGCTCGACTGGCAATCTGCGGGTTCGAATTCCCATCCCACCAAACATACTCGCCCTTTCAGCCGTGGGGACGTTATAAAGTGACGATGAATCCCACTATTCGTTAGTAAAAGAGTAGCTCAAGAGTTGGCGGTGGGTGGTGATGACTAGCTGCCTTCCCTCTAGTCTTAAACTGCTAAATTAGGGACGGCTAGCGCAGATAGCCCTCGTGTAGCTTTGCGCGAAATTCAAATCAAACATACAACGCTTTAAACAGCTGCTACTAGATGGCGGCACCCACTTAAGTTATCTGTAAGGGAAATAAAGAAATACCTGAACAAAATGATTAAATTGTAAAATCAATTTATTTACCGATCCCGTTTAACTAGGATATTTTTGAAGATTTATACACTATAAATAGTCAAAAGGGTTGTTATGGATGTACGTGACCGTTACAGTTCTTGTATTTCTACTTAATAACATAAAGAAACATGAGCTTCTGTTCGTTTCATGTTATTTATTGACGGATATATTCTCTAAGAGAGAGAGAGAGAGAGAGAAAAAAACAATAATTCTAGGGAACGTCCAGTCCGCAGAGCAAGAGACATCTGTAAATATTGTATTCATTATAACTATACAACGTACTATAAGAAGTATGGGCAAATGTACAAGCTACTAGTCCGTACCTAAGAATGTCTTTTCGTGAAATATTTTAATCAGCTTACGGTTATAAGAAACCAAATAAGTATTTGTGAGTCAAAATTCGCATTCGTACGCTTTGTTAACATTCTGTTTCATAAGAAATACAGGCCCTTTCTGTTTTATAACAAGTTTTTCTTGGATTTCTTTTTTCATCAATGTTACCTGCTCTCTCCTATAACCTATAAACTCGCTACTACAGATAGCTTACCATTCAAAACGTGTACTCCTATTTCTGCTGGATCCGCATTTGATGGAACGCAGGAATAATTTCCTGAATCCTCTGGCCTGGCTTTTCCTATCCTCAGTGTGCTTGTAGTCCGTGGAGATTTCTCCGTTTTAACTTCAATACCTTCTCGAGTGTCATAATTGATCACGTGGCCATTATGGTACCAGAAAACGTAATCTGGGGGGACAGGGTTCTCAAGGACAATACAGGTCAAGTTGATGGTACTTCCACTTTTAATGTACTGGATGGAGCCTTCTTTGATGATGGCCTTGCTCACTGCGGAAACACAAAGTTAAAACATAAGAAACAACACTGAATGCGTGAAAAAAACTAAACTAATACACAAGCCGCGTACAACACGGGTAGTCTAACTTACCCGTTACACAGCATATCCACAACACTGTAGCACTAAATTATCTGTTACCCTTGACAATTACAATACAGGGAGACTAACTTGCCTGTTACACAGCACGTCCACAACACTGTAGCACTAAGTTATCTGCTACCCTTGACAATCACAATACAGAGAGACTAACTTACCTGTTACACAGCACGTCCACAACACGGTAGCACTAAGTTATCTGCTACCCTTGACAATCACAACACAGATAGACAAACTTACCTGTTACACAGCATAACCACAACACGGTAGCACTAAGTTATCTGCTACCCTTGACAATCACAATACAGAGAGACTAACTTACCTGTTACACAACACGTCCACAACACGGTAGCACTAAGTTATCTGCTATCCTTGACAATCACAACACAGAGAGACTAACTTACCTGTTACACAGCACGTCCACAACACGGTAGCACTAAGTTATCTGCTTCCCTTTACACTCACAACACAGGGTGACTAACTTGCCTGTTACACAGCATATCCACAACACTGTAGCACTAAATTATCTGCTATATAACATGGATAAGCATGAAAACATCTAAGTAATTCCTATACAAATTACAGAAAGTTAAAAAAATGAAGAAATATGAAATACTTAAATCCTGTTCTGTACACTCACAAAACGAGAGAAAAGTAAAAAGGATACGAAACAAAATACTAGTTAAACAATTCTAGGTAATTTTCTGGTCACAATATGGAGAAAAACTACCAGATGAAGTAAACTAATATATATATAGACTTCTAAAACTTTACAATCAACATGAAAAAACTAAGTTCTATACCAGCTTTTAAAATATAAAATTAAATTATTTATCAACTACACAACACATATAAAGGAATTTTTTTCCATAATCTTATATACTTGCATCTACATTAAAATATTTGAAAACATCTCTGACATTATATGCTTTTATCTGTTTATATAATACTTTTACTTTGTCTCTTACTACAGCTGATTAAAAATGTTGAGAAATTGTCAATCAATAGTTTAAAATAACTATTGATTATTGACCTTCAGAGTGAAAATATTAAAAAAATTTTAATAACTGATAAATTGTCAGAAATTCTTATTAATAAAGATTATTTAAGCTTTCATTTTATAAAATACGAAAGAAAAAGCAGAAAAGAAAAAAATAGATAACATAAAGAGAGAGAGATGAAGCTGTTTCTCATGTTTGTATTTAAAAAAAAACATACAAGAAAATTAGCTAAAATATGAGATATAAGATGGCGCCACAAGCAAGAGAAGCTTGTATGAACACTTTAACAGTAGTATTGTGAATAGTAACAACTTCAGTTCAATAAAAACAGTTTGATTGAGCAGATGACAAAGCGATTTCAGTAAAATATTCTCTACCATACTTCACTCTCTCATTTAGAGGGAATATTTGGTCCCAGCCTCGGAAGGATTGATATTTCATGTCATCAAACAAACAAGGCCGCTGAAAGTTCTTGCCTATACGAATTCAGTTGTTCGGATAGTAAAAAATAAATAAATAACAAACGAACAAACAGCATTTCAGGTCCCCAGAATCGGAATAAGTTAAAAAAAAACTGTATAGCTTCGGAAAAGTAAAATTAATGGAAGAATTTTGATTAGAACAAATATTCTCGTACTAAACAAAACTTCAGAACAACACAGAACGTCTTTGCTTTGCAAAAAACAGGCCCACTTTTCTTACCAGTGTTGTTTTGTTGTTTTCCACAGCACCTAAGGAAAACGAGCTTAACTATGCATTATAAGCTACACTCGCTTATCATTTACTAGCATGGTTGTAGAATTAACGAGAGTGAAAAAGCTGTTTAAACCTGTCTTGTGTAGTACTGAAGTTTATCATTTATCGTCATGGCTGTTGAAATCGTTTTTAATCGTACCTTATGTACGACACTCGTTTATCATTTATCGTCATTGTGACAGAGATCTAAAGAAGCATAAATCATGTATATCACCTACATAGTTGTAGATATCTCGTATATCATGTATATTACGTATATAATGATATACGAGATATCTACAATACATGATATACGAGATATCTACAACTATATACGTAATATACACATAGTTGTAGATATCTCGTATATAATGTATATTACGTATATAGTTGTAGATATCTCGTATATAATGTATATTACGTATATAGTTGTAGACATCTCGTATATCATGTATATTACGTATATAGTTGTAGATATCCCGTATATTTAGTGATATGAACGTCACTGTTTATAGTCACGGTACTACAGGTTATGGAAAGAGTAAATTTTACTGCCAAATTTTACTAAAAATGTGTCGTGCAGGCAGTCAGATTTTGTTTCATCTTAATAAGAAATGCTCGAGCTGATAAAAACCAAAGAACGTAGACATGTGTAACCCAGCTAACTTGGGGATAAAAGTCTGTTAGTTTCGAGTTTATTTTAGCCATGATCAATTCGATTGTTTTCACCCAAATCCTCAGAATGATGAGTAGTTTACAAAGTAGAAAATTTATGTTATTAAAAAGGTTGTCGAAAATGTATCACAAAATCTACAGGTTTTAAACGAAATTATATGATATGATGATTTTTGATAGATAAAAACATTCCTTCTACCCCCACACATTACGTTTAAAGTTAACACGTGTATATATTTATATATATTTGAAATACAATTTCATGGACCGATAAAGATGCCGATTACCCCTAGTGGCAACTAAATATGTTCTATATTTATTTATTTCCTTTACTGAAAGGTGTTATAAATTACGACGTAATAACTTGTGATGAAGATTAACAGCACCTTCAAAAGTTTTAATTACTTCATATTTTATCCAAGCGGAATAAAACGTAAAAAATCCTAATATTTTTAATATTTTTTAATATTTGCTTTTAACGAAATCAAACAATATCTTACTGAACTACGTTTAACAGAAAAAAAAAGAATGCTTCCATAAATTAAAATTAAAAAGTAACGTATGCCAGTAATTATTAAACAATGTAACATGACAGTAATTATTTAAGAATGTTAATATGCTGGTAATTATTTAACAACGTAACATGTCAATAATTATTTAACAATGTAACATGCCAGTACTTATTTAACAATGTAACATGTTAGTAATTATTTAACAACGTAACATGTGAGTAATTATTTAACAACGTAACATATCAGTAATTATTTAGCACTGGTGACATCTCAGTAATTATTTAACAATGTAACATGTGAGTAATTATTTAACAATGTAACATGTGAGTAATTATTTAACAACGTAACATATCAGTAATTATTTAGCACTGGTGACATCTCAGTAATTATTTAACAATGTAACATGTGAATAATTAATTAACACTGTTAATATCTCAGTAATTATTTAACACTGTTAACATCTCAGTAATTATTTAACAACATAACATGTCAATAATTATTTAACACTGTTAACATTTCAGTAATTATTTAACAACGTAACATGCCAATAATTATTTAACACTGTTAACATCTCAGTAATTATTTAACACTGTTAACATCTCAGTAATTATTTAGCAACGTAACATCTCAGTAATTATTTAACACTGTTAACATGTCAATAATTATTTAACACTGTTAACATGCCAGTAATTATTTAACACTGTTAACATGTCAGTAATTATTTAACAATGTAATAATTAAAACAATAGAAGAAGCTTGATTTGTTACAAAATTAAAAACATAAAAAAACAAGTAACAAAATCTAACATAAAATGGGAGGTGAAAACAACTCCAAACCTTCCGACAAAATCTTTTCTGGTGGTTTCCGCTATGCTCATGATTACATGCATCTGGAACTGAACGTCAAATGTCCAACATACATATGAAAATAAAAACAACCACATATTCGATCAAACAAAATATAAATACCAGTATAATAAAAAATAAATGGGAATCTGTGTTAATAGGTAATGGAAACTGATATTAAGAAATCATTCCGTAAAAAAAATAAAAAAATAAGATTATTAATTAGAATATTAGTTTGAATCGTGCTTTTAGTCTACGAACACGTTTGCAACAAATAATAATAAAAAGAGTCATTTTAAACTTAGTTGCTGAAGTTTTTGTTTCTTTTAGCGACTCCTATCGTGATTGGAATGTAACTGAATAGTTTAAAAGACTGAGGGAAGCTCGTGGTAATAAAGCAATAGATTATATATATATATATATATATATCTAATTGTGCGTTAAATAAGAAGTTTAATAAGATGTTTTATAGATCATACTCTTCTATAATATTTGCGCTGATGATATAGATAAAATAATAGTTTAGAAATAATATAGCTACAGTACATATTTCTTTTCAAATCAGAATTGCAATTTAACGATAAGACAATATCTTAAAGTTTAAATTTTATTACCAGAGCTTTCAGACAAATGCTATTTAATAAGGAGATCTTCTCCTTGGAAACTACAACATTCGTCCAAAGTTCATTACTAAACATTAAACCAAAGCGTTCTTCTT